TATGTTGCCAGGTCCTGGTGAGCTTCAGGAGGAGTGGTTTAGGCAAAGAGGGAAGGGAGGTTTTCACTGGGTTTAGCTATCCCCCTTACTTACATTGTTCTCTGACGCTCCTCTCAGAAGATTATTCTGTCCCCAGCCATCATACCCCCATTCACTGCACACTACTTCATCATGCTAATGCCAGCCAAATCTAAAAAGATCGCTGCAGGAGAATAAGATGCATGCATTCTGGGAATGAGTGAGGAATTATTTAGATAGGAAAGTGCTGTGGGAATGTGTTGGGTTTTGGCTGGGGTAGAGTTAACTTTCCTCGCTGTGGCTGCTGTAGCTCTGTGTTTTGGATTTGTGCTGAAGAGTTGATAACACAGAGATGGCTTTGTTACTACTGAACAGTGCTTACATGGAGCCAAGGCCTTTGCTGCTTTTCCTACTGCTACCTTGCCATGGAGGTTGGGGTGCCTGGCAGCTTGGGAGGTAACCCCAACAGACCAAAGGGATGTGCCCTACAATGTGGCTTCAAGGGCAGTATCTAAAGTGGGGGCAAGAAGGGGGGACATTTGCAATGACGGCCTTTGTCTTCTGAAGTCACTGTTACTGTGGTGGGGCCCTGCTCTCCCAGAGATGGCTGAACACCTGGCTGCTCATGGTGGAAAAAAGTGAATTATTTCCTTGTTTTGCTTTGCTTGTGTGCATGGCATTTGCTTTCCCTATTAAACTGTCTTCATCTCAACCCACGAGTTTTCCAGCTTTCACCCTTCTGGTTCTCTCCCCAGTCTCTGGCGTGGGAGTGAGCGAGCAGCTGCGTGGGGCTTGGCTGCTGGCTGGGCTTAAACCACTACGGGGAAGAAATACTTCTTACAGAAAGAGCTTCCCCTGAAAATATTTTGAAACTAAGAAAAATACCTGGTTTTAATGGATTCTAACTCCGATCACCTGACTTAACTCTGATTTTGAAATAGCAGAGATATGTAGAAATTTATCAACAAAACAGCCTTTGTAATTTTGGGAAAAAAGCCTGTAATATTTTATTGTTTGCAAAAAAAAAATTACTTCTATTCTGCTAAACTACCTCAGTAAATGCACAATTTAGGTTATATTTGTTAAATTTTATACTTCAGGGCCTTACCATAAAGTTCAAAGTCAAAATAAAATGCCTTTAACATATTGAACTGGATTTTTTCAACACTTTTTGTACAAAATATTATGACAGTAAAGAAGTGAATGAGAAATATAGCTCATTCAAACTTATTCTCAGCAACAGAAGATGCTTTCATTGATATGTTCCGGTGGTATGCAACACTATTAAACTGTAGGTTGAATTTTTGACAAACTTTTCTGACCATCTTGATCATAAGAAGGCTATCTTTAGCTGCTAAATGCAGTGTTGCCCATCACTTACAAGTCTGAAACAATCATAATATAAATAAATTTACATTTCATAAGTAAATTTACATTTGTTCAGAAATTTTTTAAAACATTGGCTTAAGATTTTCAAAATGTTGATGAATCAATCACAGGAGAAAACACAGAGCATCAATAATTAGAACAACATATCACTTTCTCTTTTAACAGGATAGACACTCTTTTCCCAAAAGTTCTATAAATTTACTTCTCAGCATAGCATGATGATCACATATCTCAAACATTACTTAGCATGCCTGGCAGGAAGGCTATGTAAATCACCTCCTTTTGTTTTTAGTGCGTTTTCCACATGTTCAAGAAGCAGTGAAAAGATTCGTTGCTCAAGAAATCATTAAGTGATAAAATCAAAGCACAAGGACACAAATCCTGTCAAATGTGGGAGTATAATCCAGTAGAAAATAAAATCATATCCCTTTCATAGAAACTTAAATTATTTGCGTATATTGAAATGTCTCTTTCCTAGAATTTTCTTCGAAAAAGAGAACACTACAAATAGCCCTGTTGGGTCTCTTTGCACTATTTGTGGCATAAGGAGCTACTCATCTTGGTTAAAAATCTGAGTCTGGCCTTCAGCCAGCATGGGCCAGATCCTGCCATCCTTAGTAGAGCTGAGTAGTACCTTAAGCTGGGCCTGATTATGAACCGATTACTCATGTTGTGCTGAGAGGCTTTTTTTTTGCATGAATGGGGCCATTGTGAATAAACATTTACAAGTGATTCACAATTTGGCCTATGTGAGTAGTCCCACTCCCATCAATGCCACTACTCACAGAGTAAAGCCCTACTAAATAAAACTGGCAGAATGTGACCCTGTTGTAGTACTTGACATCTAACACGAAGATACTTTTTCATTAGCTAAATGAAACGCTGCGACCAACAGGCTATCATTCATTCTTCGAGACGAGGCTGATGCAAGAGCATGACAAGCTTAATGCAGGCCTGCAACTTATCACACCTCAGGTTTAATGAGGGGTTGAATACCTATTTATTTAATGTATAAAGTTATGCTAGCAACAAGGAACAAAAAATTTCCATTGCTAGATTTGAGGGTGAAGAATTAATTAGAATTGCATCCCTTCCACTTAATTAAAATCAGCAGGAAGATGACATGGTCTTTTATTTTCTCCTTTGATTTTGGAAGCAAAAAGCACCTAAAATTGTTGTAATATTTTGAAAAAGGATATTAATTCTGTAATAAATCTGCAATTGCAATGAATTCCTAGGAATTGTTGCATTTTACTCCTGACATTAAAAAAAACTTGTACAAATTATTTTGGGGGGATTTCAGAAGAAAACAATAGCAAATTCTGCTATGAAAATAAATAAGTAACTTGAAAGAGGCAACAACAAAAATGGATCAGAGATTGCCAGCTAAACTTTTCCTTCTTTGTCCATGAATGAAACCCTAACAAAAAGTTCTGGAAATCACTTTGGCATGCTCTAAATATTATACCTTAAAAGAAATTTTGTGGAAACTGAATAAAATTTAACCAAAGGAAAAAAAAAAAAAAAACAACAAAAAAAACTTGAAAACAGTTTGCTGAAAACTCCATTGTATTTCCAGCACTTTCATCCTTCTGCATGTTGCAAAAGTGTCTATAGAAAATGAATACTTCTACCTGTACCAATAAAATTCTTTTTTTTTTTTCTTTAAAACATAATTCTAGTTTACTGCTCTGTAAACAGACCATAAAAAATGGAAAAGATAACTTCTAGCCAGAATACTCTTTTCCAGCTCCTCGGGTCAAAGTAGAAGCTAATTTTTAGAAGGAGAATCGAATCAGGAAACCACAAATTGGAGTATATGTATGTGTTAAAATCTGAGTTTATTACTAGTGGAAAATAGGACAACCTTCCTTTCAGCTGTGTAAGACTCTGCTGTAAAAATCCCATTTTTAGTTGATCCTGATGGTTTCAAAGTCAAGTTTGTTTATTCTTGAAAGACTACAGAATGAGTCCATCTCCTATTTTTGTTTCAAGTTTAGCCCCCATGAGTGGGAGAAGAGAAAATCTGGGGATTCCTGTGTGTTTGTTTTTGTGAGGACTGGTAGTTCTGCAGTTGCTGTGGTGAAATCTGCTTCCTGATCTTCCCGTCTTCCCCCATGCACCCTCTGTTCCTAACTAATGGCCAGAGAGAAAGGCAAGAATGAGCAGGGGGTGCCCCGAGAGTTGTATCCTGTTCTAATCACAGCCATGCAAGTCCTTCTTTATTTCAATTAATTTACTTTGCCTTTATGAACCTGAGAGACTGACTGTTGCTTTCAAAGGGGCTGACATTTCACTCATCTGAAGGAGCTTGGAATGTGACAGGGGAAAGGGAGGAGAAGTAAATCAAAGCAGATATCAATTCTCCAGATGTAAAGTATTTTTCTTCTCCTCTATTTTTTTTCCACCAGAAATGTCAGAAAGTCTGCTGACATTTTAATTCCTTTGTGATAGGCTGGGAGCTGAGAGCCAAGTCCTGCTGCCATTGCAGTCAAAAAGATTTTTCCCATATACTTTAAAAGTAGCAAATTAGTCTTACACTCTGGAAAGCATATAAGCAAAGTTTCAACAAAATGTAATTAAAACTAAAATTACATTACTCTATCATCTTAGGATCAGATCCAAACTGAAACTGATGAGCCTTGTTGGACTTTTTTGTTCCAATTTGTCCATAGAGTAGCAAAACCCAGTAAATGGACTGTACTGGAAATAAGACCCCAGTGTTGTGTTGTTTGTTGTTTTTCCCTAATCTGAATTCTGTTAAAAGTGTAGGAGTACTATTCCATGCTGTCTATTAGTCACCCAAGCTTCATGACACCCTATCTATAACCTTTAAGATTTAATTTAAATTTACTAGTTGACACACAGTCTGTGCTTATCTTTTAAAACTCTGTTAAGCACTGTGATCCTACTTTTAGCGTTATATGTGACCAAAAAATATCTCACTATCTTTAATAGAAATACACTCAGGTCCATAAGATAAAGTAGTACCTTATATTCTTTTTACATTAGTTGTTCATTGATATAAATTCAACAAGCTCAGCATGCATTTAGCAAAACAGCAGAGCTGGCTTAGAGCAGCAGCACAGTGCTGAGAGAACTCAGTCTACAAATTCTACCTACAACATGAGTGGTCATATATTTCCCTCTTTGCATGGTGTGCTTAGAGATTTACATCATGGGTTCAATATAATAAATTTATTTTCCTTTACTAAGTTGTTCCTTTATGAAGTATTCATTTGTAAAGCATGAATTTTTTATACAGGACTGCTAAAAACCATGGAGTAGACACATTTGCTTAGTAGTTTTATTTTTTTTCATGTTCTATAATCATATTTCATCAACTGGTACAACAAAACATATATAAAAAGCAAAACAAAGAGAGCTTGTTGAGCTTGATGCATGGTAAATCTATTTGGTTTATTCTTGGTTTATTGTTAAATATTATATTGCATTTCTTAAAGCAGACATCGTGTATATTGTGATTTCTAGCATTCCACACACAGCAGCTTATTGTTGTTCCCTTTAAATATGGGAAATAAAAATGGTTTTAGTTTGCTTTAAAAAAAAAATTGAGAGAGGGTACTGCTATATTACATGGCCCAAGAAATATTGGCAGCATGCTCTTTGGCTTTCATCCGTAGAACTGCAATACTGGAGGACCTCCTTTCAAACTCTGGTTTGGTTTCAAAAGCATGTCCATTGGTTGCCCCAGAAAGCAACGAGTCAGTGAAAAAATTATTGAGGGGCATGTGGCTAAATTGATTCTGGTGGTTTGAAAAGCCTGTGTAGCCAGAATCTGTCCGGGGTGAATGGGAGTAAGGTGTCATACAGGAGGATGTATCTCGTGGCAGCATGCAGGAGGTAACCACAGAACCACTGGCCGCGTTCCCTGCCCACAGATTGTTCTGAATCTGGAACATATAAAATGAACACAATTAAAACTCAGATAGTTCATCTTTTGTTTTCTGCAATGCTTGGTTTGCTTTACTTCACATATAATTAGTTCCCCTCTGAAACAAGTAACAAGTATTTAACAAGTACTCTGCAATCATGTCAGAAAGTAGTGTGAAGAGATCACATCAGACAAAATATGAGATCGCTCACTTAAGAGCAAGGGCTGATGAGTCATGTTCCTTATTTTGTCATCCATTTGTCCTGTGGCTCCATGTATGTGTCTAGTGTTGAACCTCAGGATGCCATCAGCCCAGCCAGTCAATAAAATTAATGGAAACACACAAATGACATCAGAAAACACTTGTCAAAAGAGTGTACAAGATCATAGATATTTTCAACATAAATGCTTCTTCTCATTAGAATTCCCATTGTAATAGTCAGAAAAGGGTGAACAAAACAAACCAATTTGGATTTCTCAAGCGATAAAGCTCAACAAGTATTCAAAAAATTTAATAATGAGAAGCCTTGCGTAATTACTTTAAAACAAATGAAACCCTAAAACACAGAAATTACTGATAATGCATTCAAGACCTTTTTTTAAATTTGTTTCAAAGATAGATTTGATACAAAATTTCTTTTCATGACTTTTCATGTGAGAATATACTTTAAGGGCATATCTGTTTCAGCATTCAGCCTTAACAAGGTGCATTGTGCATCCCTGGAAAACATTGTATGACAGACAAGGACACAAACTTTGCGGTTACCATCAATGCCTGGAGCAACCATGTATTCAAGCCTTGATGTATAATCCTTTCTATACTTGGCAGTTGCTTAAAGCTCCATTCTGAGTCTCAGGCCTTCTACCATCTATGCATAGATGGTATTTATGGATAGGTATTTTTCACTTGTTTGTTACTAGATGGACAGGCAGAAAGATTTTTAACATGAGTCAGCTCTTATTGTTATCTCAGACTGCATGGTCTTTCATTCCTGCTCTATTCACTTTGATTTGATCAAGCTTCACACTCAGCAACTGGCCTTCTGTTTCTCCAAACTCTGCTCTCTCTCTATAAGTACTACTTGCATATGGTATAATTTCTGACATACTCGATCTTCCTCGGTCATTCCTCATTTACACATGACATTATACAATTTACAACTTTGTATGTCTTCTCCACTTTTACCTATATACCTCTCCTGAATGCTGATTTTTTTAATGTATAAATAACATCAGGCAAGACATTTTAGCCCCCATTCACAATACAGATCTTGTCAGCCAGTAACTATATCCTTTCCTATTTGTTTTCCTTTGCTAAATTTGTCTTCACTCTAAAAATCTGTTGTCTGTTCAGTGTATCCTTGCCCTGATGCACTGTGATTGAGCCCACGTGTCTTTGTTCTCTGTGATGTGTTGGAGTAACTCAATTACTCTTCAGTTAGCACTGAAAAGTGAATTCCCACTTCAAACTTAATTCTACATTCACATTCCAAATCCACAGACAAAGGAATTTTGACTTTAAGATATAAAGGTTATCTCTCTAGCTGAGTGATTTTTTTCTGTCAAAGTAGAGGTCAGAGGAAGTAATGAATTATGACAGACACACACATATGCACACACAGAATGAAAACATGTTTCTAAGGCTGATGAGTTGTGTTTTCTCCCATTGTCCTATCACTTTGCAACAGCACATACCAAACCACCAACAAGCTAAAGCGATAAATTATGGTTCACTGAACTCCTCTAGCTGAGATCTAGTGCAGATAGGAAGGACGAAATAGTCTTATTTAAAACAGTTATATTAGCAAGGTCATCAGGAACTGACAAACTAATCTGGACTCCTTGGGAATTCCAGCAGCAAAAACATAATCCAGTAAATGCTCCATTTTGGTTTCCTCTGAAAGCCTGGGGAAAAATCATGGCAGCAACTCATCTCCCCAAACTCTGGGTCGGCTCAGCTTGTTTACTCAGACGTGCATGCATGCAGTTATAGTTCCACACGCACTCATGGATGTGCCTTTTCACACACACCCACACAGCTGGGCACACATCAGGCTTCTGCTCCTGCATATTTTAGGTGATCTGCTGGGAGGTAATGGAGGAAGTAAGGTCACTGAGGAAGAATATGGAAGAATTTTCCTTCTTGTGGACCTCCTGACGTCTATATGAGGAAATCTAAAAGAAGTTTCAGAACTTTCCAGTTACCACCTCTCATAATCACTTTTCAGAAGACTCAAACATCAGCCCATGGGAGACGCCCTACAGTTTGACATAATTCCCAGCTGCCTTATTACTCCTTCATTAACCTACCTGAGCCAGTTTTGACTTATAATCAGACAAATTTCCCCAGGGAGAAACTAGTTAACCTATGCAGTGTCTAATACATGAGCTATTTCTGAAGGAGCTCATAATCTCCAAAGCTAACTTACATGCAACAAAGTCTTATTTATCTGACTTACTGAAATTTCTTTCAAAGAAATGCTGTGCCAAATGCTACCCAGGCAGCATAGATATAATTAGGGGAGGAATTTTAAAAAAAAAGTTTAAATACAAACATGAACAAGTTTGCCTTTAATAGAGTCATGATGGGAAATCTTCAAAAGGTTCAGAGGCTCAGTTAGAAAGTGCCCAATAACCAATGTGGTCTGGAGGAATCACAAAATCACTCTTTCTTTCCATACTTTGAGTAGTTTGGTGTGCAGTAAGCTAAGTTTAGTACCACCAATTTCCCTGATATTTTTAGTCCAGGCAAATCTCTTTCAATTCAGGTTCACAGGTGTAAATGAGAACAGAATTCAGCTGCAAATCCTAAAATGTGCCAATGTCTTTTTCAAGAAATATGTGAACAAGCTATTAATTTCTAAAACTTTTAAAGGAGCACACTAGATTTCTTCCTTAGAGAAAGGAATTCAAATTATTAAACTTAACTTCAGGAATGCCACAAGATTCTAGGGGAGCTTCACATCTTCTCTCATGAGGCAGTTATGCCTTCCAAAACAATGTTTTCAGTTATATCAATTTTATATTCATTTTAGTTGATTGAGTGACTTCACATTTGGTATTAAATGTTCATTTCTTTACAAGGATTTACAACATAAATATCTTGTAGTGAAATTTAGGCACAGAAGGTATTCCTGTATTCAAAATAAATACAGTAATGTTTCACAATAAGTCAAAATGATCAGAGCTTCTTCTGGTATGTTAGAAGGAAAAGCGACACTATGTACATGAATTTAAAGAAAATATTTTTCCTCTTAAAATCTTGTGTGATCCATGAACTATATAAAAGGCAATTCAGAGACTGTGAATGAGGCCATACATACAGCACATCTCTGGTTTCTGTTAACATCACAAACAACTTGAGCTTTGCTCTTGCGGTTACCATGAAATTACCAGAGCCCTTCAATATATTTACCTACTGTATGTTTTATACACACATACACATGCACACACACCCTTCCTGATCGAAAAAGAAGTAGGATTTCATAGCTGTGACAAGACCATAACTGCAGAGTTATAGTTGTTAACATGGTTATGATATAATTTCCTAGGCACATGACCTTCTGTTAGACACTGCAGAGGAAAAAGAGCTGAGGTAATTGGTCATCCCACTTGGTGTCACTGCTTTTTTTCTGATAAACTTTCAAGCTCCCTGAGCTTCAGCCTTTTTATGCAGTCCCTGGAGAAACCACATAAACTCAAATATCAAATTTTTCTGGGAGTTTTGCTATCACTGCCCTAGCCTTTGGGAGAACCAAATGGGAGATTTGGCTCTCCCTTCACCAAATTCTTGACTCGTGTTATTTCAGTCGCCTGCCTATCCAGACTAGAGACCATCTCTGTTTGAGTGCACACCTTTTAGTGCTTCACATTGGAAACAAAATTCTAATTTCTTTTAAGATCTCTAGATATCAAGAGATGTTATTATTGTATTACATAATAAACGTTATACGTGCTGAATGTTATTATAATTACTCTAGTAATTAGAAACTACACATTTCCTCTGTGGAAAACAAGAGTTGCACTAAATGAAGAGTTAAGAATTTATGTAATTATAGAAAACGTGTGAATGTCAGACTGATTTGCTAAATTTTTGTCACTACTCTCCTTACACTACCAAAAATATCAAATCTGTGCTAGCACAAGAAGCTACTTTCAGGAGATTAAATGTAATAGACGTTAAACTGCTCAAAACTACTAGTTCACAGCTTGTATCTGTTGGTCATCCCTAGTCCATCACCACAATTAATTTGGTCTGTAAATTTCCACTTTTTTTTTTTTCTGGGTGCCTCTTTAGAGCATCCAAAATACAGGTAGAAATTTGCCTGTACTTCCTAAATTTGTAGATTCTCAGAATAATTTAAACCAAAAAAGAGCCTCTGGGATTTTTCTAAACCCTTGCTTGCAGCTACTCTCAAATTGAGATAAGATTACTCAAACCCCATCCAGCCATGTTTTGAGTCTCTGCAGCTGCAGGGATTCATTAATTTCTACGGGCAATTTGTCCCAATGCTTCACCACTCTCATTGTATTTTTACTTTTATATCTAGACAGAGAACTTCTCGGTGTTTAATTTGTGACTATTTTGTAGGAGCTGATGGACAAGTGCACATGTGAAGATCACCTGTACTGTATTGGGCTCACGTATGAGAGAGATGCAGGACACAATTTGCAGATACAAATAAAATGCTAATTAGCACATGATAGTGAGAGGCTTAATGATACAGATTTAAAGTATGTGATAGACCCCTTCAGTCCACATTTGGCTTACACATGGTGAACAAAATAAAACTCTGACCATTAGATTCCACACTTAAGTTTGCTAAGCTTCAAAACAATGTAGGATTTGAAAAGTCATCAAGCTTTGATTCCTGTATGGGATGTTTTGTAAACTGTAAATTCTCCCTACTGCAATCTTGAGGCCACTTATTCTATGGATTAATTATATTTCAACTCAATGATACAGTTAAATACAATATTTCACATTTTGAAAAATACTATTAAAAATTTTGTGTATCT